AACCAAGTAACTCACCCACTGATACCAAGGTATTCACCCTTTGTAAATACATTGCTATGTTCACATATCAAAACAAAGGAGAGAATACTACAATCAATCAATCAGTGAGTGAGTGAGTGAGAAGTCCTTCAGGGTGTGTCCTGCATGTATAGGTATTATCAGTCTGTTTTTAGAATAGTGTTTCTGATAAAGTTCTCTGTTTAGAGGGTGTGAGTTGGCTATTTCACAAGGACCAGGTGGAGATCCAGTGTTCCCAAAGAAAGTGTTTACATTCCGTAATCTCATGACGTCTTCTTGCATCAGTCGCTCTCTGGTTTCTGTCGAAATTGTTTGTGTGTCCCGTCCTTGAGATGAGATTAATTTGAATGGGACTGTCAGTATCATGTGTCATTGTTTTTGCGCAAGGGTCTATGTATAGCTACTTTTACCTATGCAACAAAATTGCGAAATCTTTATTGCACACACACATACCTGGCTGTGATGTAAATGTTGCCGGAGATCATTTGTTTTCCCAGGACGATATTTTGTTACAGTAACAGATAAGAATGATTTCACTTACCGTGTGTAGTATATAGGCTAAACCACCACCACCAAATAGCTTCACTGAACTGTGTGAATGATTGTAAAACCCATTGAGAAGACTTCTGTGCAGCGGCACACTGAATATATAAAGGTATTGGTGACCCATTCTATGCACCATGGAGACAAACAACAGTAGTAGCAACGATGTTGAGCTAGAAGTCCCGGACACAGGCACAAGCTCCCAGGTTTTCAAGGTGACTACAATGTTCCGAGGACAGGAAGGGCAGGATGATGAACAGGGGAGGGAAGAGCTTATAGACAAATATTATAAAGATCTTGATAACGCACCTCGGTCAGCAAAGTCCAGTGTTCCCTCAAGTTACATACCCAGGCACAAGTACAGGTGGACATGGGAGCTCGAATAAAGTTGAACCCTTCTCTGAAGACATGGGTAGTTATCCTCATTCTGTAGATAGTATCAGAATGCTTGTCGGTAGTGGTATGGCGGGAGCGCTATTGTATGTCCTTAGCTTCAGAGTCAGTGTTGCCATTCAGGTAGGTTATTGTTATTTTCACTTGTTATACTTTGATCCTTCCAGAAAATGTGATTGTTTGTAACAAACAAATATGCTTGTGTTCTTGTCTCTGACGACACATGGGTATCTACCTGTTCATATGTATCTACCTGGTGTTCAGGGATATTGGTATATATGGGTGTTCTGAAACATGGGCTGTTTGATTCGTAACTGTCTACCTGCTCCATATAAACATGGATATCTACCTGTTCAGCACCTGGTGTTCAGGGATATTGGTATATATGGGTGTTCTGAAACATGGGCTATTTGATTCGTAGCTGTGTACCTGCTCCATATAAACATGGATATCTACCTGTTCAGCACCTGGTGTTCAGGGATTTTGGTATATATGGGTGTTCTGAAACATGGGCTGTTTGATTCGTAACTGTACCTGCTCCATATAAACATGGATATCTACCTGTTCAGCACCTGGTGTCCAGGGATATTGGTATATATGGGTGTTCTGAAACATGGGCTATTTGATTCGTAACTGTGTACCTGCTCCATAAAAACATGGATCCTGTTCAGCACCTGGTGTCCAGGGATATTGGTATATATGGGTGTTCTGAAACATGGGCTATTTGATTCGTAACTGTCTACCTGCTCCATATAAACATGGATATCTACCTGTTCAGCACCTGGTGTTCAGGGATATTGGTATATATGGGTGTTCTGAAACATGGGCTGTTTGATTCGTAACTGTACCTGCTCCATATAAACATGGATATCTACCTGTTCAGCACCTGGTGTTCAGGGATATTGGTATATATGGGTGTTCTGAAACATGGGCTGTTTGATTCGTAACTGTCTACCTGCTCCATATAAACATGGATATCTACCTGTTCAGCACCTGGTGTTCAGGGATATTGGTATATATGGGTGTTCTGAAACATGGGCTGTTTGATTCGTAACTGTACCTGCTCCATATAAACATGGATATCTACCTGTTCAGCACCTGGTGTTCAGGGATATTGGTATATATGGGTGTTCTGAAACATGGGCTATTTGATTCTAGTAACTGTACCTGCTCCATATAAACATGGATATCTACCTGTTCAGCACCTGGTGTTCAGGGATATTGGTATATATGGGTGTTCTGAAACATGGGCTATTTGATTCGTAACTGTCTACCTGCTTCATATAAACATGGATATCTACCTGTTCAGCACCTGGTGTTCAGGGATATTGGTATATATGGGTGTTCTGAAACATGGGCTATTTGATTCGTAACTGTACCTGCTCCATATAAACATGGATATCTACCTGTTCAGCACCTGGTGTTCAGGGATATTGGTATATATGGGTGTTCTGAAACATGGGCTGTTTGATTCGTAACTGTCTACCTGCTCCATATAAACATGGATATCTACCTGTTCAGCACCTGGTGTTCAGGATATTGGTATATATGGGTGTTCTGAATATATGGGCTATTTGATTCTGGAAACATGCTTCATATAAACATGGATATCTACCTGTTCAGCACCTGGTGTTCAGGGATATTGGTTATATGGGTGTACATGGGCTATTTGATTCGTCTACCTGCTCCATATAAACATGGATATCTACCTGTTCAGCACCTGGTGTTCAGGGATATTTGTATATATGGGTGTTCTGAAACATGGGCTATTTGATTCAGTAACTGTACCTGCTCCATATAAACATGGATATCTACCTGTTCAGCACCTGGTGTTCAGGGATATTGGTATATATGGGTGTTCTGAAACATGGGCTGTTTGATTAAACAGTAACACCTGGTGTTCAGGATATTGGTATATATGGGTGTTCTAGGAAACATGATTCGTCTATGTGCTCCATATAAACATGGATATCTACCTGTTCAGCACCTGGTGTTCAGGGATATTGGTATATATGGGTGTTCTGGAAACATGGGCTATTTGATTGTAACTGTGTCCTGCTCCATATAAACATGGATATCTACCTGTTCAGCACCTGGTGTTCAGGGATATTGGTATATATGGGTGTTCTGAAACATGGGCTATTTGATTCAGGGATATTGGGTATAACTGTCTACCTGCTCCATATAAACATGGATATCTACCTGTTCAGCACCTGGTGTTCAGGGATATTGGTATATATGGGTGTTCTGAAACATGGGCTATTTGATTATATGGGTGTAACTGTGTACCTGCTCCATATAAACATGGATATCTACCTGTTCAGCACCTGGTGTTCAGGGATATTGGTATATATGGGTGTTCTGAAACATGGGCTGTTTGATTCGTAACTGTCTACCTGCTCCATATAAACATGGATATCTACCTGTTCAGCACCTGGTGTTCAGGGATATTGGTATATATGGGTGTTCTGAAACATGGGCTATTTGATTCTTAACTGTGTACCTGCTCCATATAAACATGGATATCTACCTGTTCAGCACCTGGTGTTCAGGGATATTGGTATATATGGGTGTTCTGAAACATGGGCTATTTGATTCGTAACTGTCTACCTGCTCCATATAAACATGGATATCTACCTGTTCAGCACCTGGTGTTCAGGGATATTGGTATATATGGGTGTTCTGAAACATGGGCTATTTGATTCGTAACTGTGTACCTGCTCCATATAAACATGGATATCTACCTGTTCAGCACCTGGTGTTCAGGGATATTGGTATATATGGGTGTTCTGAAACATGGGCTATTTGATTCGTAACTGTGTACCTGCTCCATATAAACATGGATATCTACCTGTTCAGCACCTGGTGTTCAGGGATATTGGTATATATCATTGCTCTGAAATGTTGACTATTTCTCTTCATGACAGTCTACCTGTGTAATGTAAAATGCATATCTACCTGTATAGGGCCCAGTGTACAGTGATGTGGGGGTTATTGGTAGCCGGTGGCATGATACAATACAATCCAGTGTAAACAGACAATTCATGCAATGTGTCATTCTTGTCTTTTGCCCTTCAGCCTTCTAGAAGTTGTCAACATTTTCCATGTTTGTAATTACTTTTGCTAATTGTAGTTATGGAGATGGAGTATTTATTACATTACTGAAGAGTTTTGGAACACGTTTGCATTACTTCTCAAGTTCTGTTTGATATGAACAGATTCTTTGTCAAGATTTGAAATCAGCTTTGGCTGAGAAAAGCAGCCATGCAGCACCACAACAGATTATTGTAACACATTTATGAAAGATTACTAAGAAAGTGTAATCCCAAATATAACATATGTTACATTTGACCACTTTCTAAATGGCATTGTGTAATCATAGCTTTCGGCCATCGGAGCCATGCCAATTTACACTTATCAGAGGGGTATAGTCTAGACTACCAGTTGTCCGACTTCCATTTTTGTGGAAGTCACGGTGGCTGAGCAGGTTAGGTGACTGACTTTGTGTGCTGGCAATTTGGTGCCTGACTCTGAGGGTGTGGGTTTGAATCCCGGATGGGACTCAACCCCAAAAAGTGCTAGAATTTGTACTTTACTAAGAAAGTGTAACCCCAAATATAACATATGTTACATTTATGAAACGTGTGAGGACTCAGTAAGGCATGGCCAACAGGCAACAAAGCTAATATAGACAATGACTGTTGACAACAGATACCATTAGATGCTTCCTCTTCCACACAATCACATGGGAGGGATAGCTTAGTAGTTAACGCATTGTGATACAAGGATATGGTTTCAGCCAATGAGCGTCATCATCACTTCTTACAATAAGCATCAATTATTTGGGACCTTCATAACCCAAAATCCTCACAGACAAGAGGAATTTCTGAAGGATACAGATATTAGCTCCTCAAACAAATATTCATTTGTGCTTTCAAATTGCAGACCTCTGCATGTGAGTGTTTAAATCTGTAGGCTCACTCCACTGACAGACATGTTTTTGTACATTTATTGTAAATATTTGACAGTTGTTGATGTTCTTTCAGGTCACCAGTCAGCTGATGATGGCGGAAGTATCGGTTGCTGTGGTTACGTCTTGTACTTCCTGTCCCTCATCGCTATCGCCTGCACCTTCCCTTTCTCACTGTGTCTCTGTATGAAGGTAAGCTATTTGCTGTAACAGATCACCATCTCAACAATGTGAGAGTGCAGCCTGCAGCAATGAACATTGTTGGAATCCCAGATATAACACAGTATGGGTTAACCCCATATGAATTCTGGATATATGGGTGTGGTGACATGGCTGTTTATCGTATCCATTGATTAGGATCGTTGTTTGTTCATTCAGTTAATGGGGCGGTGGGGTAGCCTAATGGTTAAAGCGTTGGCTTGTCACGCCGAAGACCCAGGTTCAAATCCCCACATGGGTACAATACGTGAAGCCCATTTCTGGTGTCCCCCGCTGTGATGTTGCTGGAATATTGCTAAAAGCGGCGTAAAACTAAACTCAGTCAGTCAGTCATTCAGTTAATAGCCGACACTGTATTCTGTACTGGAATATGTGTTCCTAAGTGACCAAATAGTCAAACAGTTCCAAACTGAAGTTACATCATATTCTTTGGAGAGGCATCTGCAGGGAAAATTGTTTGATCACTAGTCATGTCATACCTTAAAATGAAGCCCATTTCCGGTGTCGTCGTCATTATTTTCTGGAATATTGCTAAAAGCAGTGTAAAACCAAATTCACTCTCTCACTCATACCTTAAAACATTAAAAGATGGTACTTGTTGTTACCCAGTGTGGCCTCAGGTTTAAGGGATTAAAACAAAGACTGGTCAGCTCTGAGTCAACTGCAGCATGGTATGTCAGTGGTTTGGATCACTATAAAACAGGCATTAGCCCAGACTAGTACAAGCAGCCATACACACCCTTGCGGGGGCATATCACTATGTCAGTGCAGTAATTTGAATGAGACATATCTCCTCACCTCTCTGGAGACACAGAAACAGTTATAACTTTCACTGACTGAGTTTGGTTTTTCGCCGCTTTTAGCAATATTCCAGCAATATCACGGCGGGGGACACCAGAAATGGGCTTCACTCATTGTACCCATGTAGGGATTCGAACCTGGGTCTTCGGCGTGACGAGCCAACGCTTTAACCACTAGACTACCCCACCGCCCTGTTATAACTTTCAGATAATAAGGGGTGGTGGGGTGGCCTAGTGGTTAAAGCGTTTTCTCGTCATGCTAAAGACACTAGTTTGATTCCCCACATTGTGTGAAGCCCATTTCTGGTGTCCCCCGTCATGATATGATATTGAGGTGGAATACCATGATAACCAAACTTTCCAGCTAGGCGTAAAAGATGGGATCCTTGTCATAACCCTGATTTAAAATTTGAAAATTAAAACTTAAAATACCAGGGCCAAACTCAAGGGATGTTAAGTGGTCGTTAAATATGTACACTGGCCATATGTGACATGGTGGGTTGTGTCACTGTCTTGATACATGTGGTGTCCAGCTTGGGTCATTGATGGGCTATTGATACATGTGGTGTCCAGCTTGGGTCATTGATGGGCTATTGATACATGTGGTGTCCAACTTGGGTCATTGATGGGCTATTGATACATGTGGTGTCCAGCTTGGGTCATTGATGGGCTATTGATACATGTGGTGTCCAGCTTGGGTCATTGATGGGCTATTGATACATGTGGTGTCCAGCTTGGGCCATTGATGGGCTATTGATACATGTGGTGTCCAGCTTGGGTCATTGATGGGCTAGTGATACATGTGGTGTCCAGCTTGGGTCATTGATGGGCTATTGATACATGTGGTGTCCAGCTTGGGTCATTGATGGGCTATTGATACATACATGGTGTCCAGCTTGGGTCATTGATGGGCTATTGATACATGTGGTGTCCAGCTTGGGTCATTGATGGGCTATTGATACATGTGGTGTCCAGCTTGGGTCATTGATGGGCTATTGATACATGTGGTGTCCAGCTTGGGTCATTGATGGGCTAGTGATACATGTGGTGTCCAGCTTGGGCCATTGATGGGCTATTATTACATGTGGTGTCCAGCTTGGGTCATTGATGGGCTATTGATACATGTGGTGTCCAGCTTGGGTCATTGATGGGCTATTGATACATGTGGTGTCCAGCTTGGGTCATTGATGGGCTATTGATACATGTTGTGTCCAACTTGGGTCATTGATGGGCTATTGATACATGTGGTGTCCAGCTTGGGTCATTGATGGGCTATTGATACATGTGGTGTCCAGCTTGGGTCATTGATGGGCTATTGATACATGTGATGTCAGCTTGGGTCATTGATGGGCTATTGATACATGTGGTGTCCAGCTTGGGTCATTGATGGGCTATTGATACATGTGGTGTCCAACTTGGGTCATTGATGGGCTATTGATACATGTGGTGTCCAGCTTGGGTCATTGATGGGCTATTGATACATGTGGTGTCCAACTTGGGTCATTGATGGGCTATTGATACATGTGGTGTCCAGCTTGGGTCATTGATGGGCTATTGATACATGTGGTGTCCAGCTTGGGTCATTGATGGGCTATTGATACATGTGATGTCCAGCTTGGGTCATTGATGGGCTATTGATACATGTGGTGTCCAGCTTGGGTCATTGATGGGCTATTGATACATGTGGTGTCCAGCTTGGGTCATTGATGGGCTATTGATACATGTGGTGTCCAGCTTGGGTCATTGATGGGCTATTGATACATGTGGTGTCCAGCTTGGGTCATTGATGGGCTATTGATACATGTGGTGTCCAGCTTGGGTCATTGATGGGCTATTGATACATGTGGTGTCCAGCTTGGGTCATTGATGGGCTATTGATACATGTGGTGTCCAGCTTGGGTCATTGATGGGCTATTGATACATGTGGTGTCCAGCTTGGGTCATTGATGGGCTATTGATACATGTGGTGTCCAGCTTGGGTCATTGATGGGCTATTGATACATGTGGTGTCCAGCTTGGGTCATTGATGGGCTATTGATACATGTGGTGTCCAGCTTGGGTCATTGATGGGCTATTGATACATGTGGTGTCCAGCTTGGGTCATTGATGGGCTATTGATACATGTGGTGTCAGCTTGGGTCATTGATGGGCTATTGATACATGTGGTGTCCAGCTTGGGTCATTGATGGGCTATTGATACATGTGGTGTCCAGCTTGGGTCATTGATGGGCTATTGATACATGTGGTGTCCAGCTTGGGTCATTGATGGGCTATTGATACATGTGGTGTCCAGCTTGGGTCATTGATGGGCTATTGATACATGTGGTGTCCAGCTTGGGTCATTGATGGGCTATTGATACATGTGGTGTCCAGCTTGGGTCATTGATGGGCTATTGATACATTTGGTGTCCAGCTTGGGTCATTGGTGGGCTCCAGCTTGGGTCATTGATACATGTGGTGTCCAGCTTGGGTCATTGATGGGCTATTGATACATGTGGTGTCCAGCTTGGGTCATTGATGGGCTATTGATACATGTGGTGTCCAGCTTGGGTCATTGATGGGCTATTGATACATGTGGTGTCCAACTTGCATAACTAAGTAGCACTTACTGACTTTTGTAAGGATGGTATCCTTTGGCAGCTTCCAAGTCATACTGCTTGATTTGTTGGAGGGGTTAGCCCCCAAATAAAAAATCCATATTTGCTATTCAAGGCAGTTTTCGCTATGATTAGCCAAGCTTCGATCTGGCTGGTGTGTTTTCTTAAACATGGCATTGATCGAATGGTTGCAATAAAAGTGGGAACCCTTGCTTGAGAGACACGTTTATTAGGCTCGTGGAATCAGAACAGCTAAAAATAGCTGCCAGGATTTGATACTCAAACGCTCTTGTCCTTGCGCTCAGAATGGAATTATCTCAAGGCAAATATCCCATCATTGCCATGTGACAGTGGGATGAGAGAGAGTATGACAAAATGATTAAGCAAGGGGAGGGACTGATGGTGTGACATTGTAGCTTCAATGCAAGCCATATGTTGTAATTTCACAACCACTTGTGCACATGCACACACGCACAAGCACAAGCACAAGCACACACGCACATGCACAAGCACACACGCACACGTGACAATGAATGGTCAGGCTCAGTGACTTGGTTCATTCTAATTCAACAAAGATACTGAACCAACAGCACTATCTGAGTTCCCAGGGAAGTAGCATCAATGACAGAATATCACAACTCAAAGGAAGTCATCAAGTGGTCTTCTAAATCCTGGAAGACCTGGAGTAATATGTGACACATCTTTCTGCACAACTGTTATTCATTACTTGCAGTCAGGCCATAGTGTGTGTAAAACCCCAGTTGTATGCCACTTTCAGCAGTATACCAGCTATCATGCAGGGACTGGGAAAGGCAGGGGCCATGGGCCATTTTGCACAGTAGAATAAAAATGGCCCATTAAAAGTTTGAAGTTTACTATTGATACAAGGGCAGTGGCCCATTTTAAATCAGAAAATAGCTAATAATCCTGAAAATGGCCCATTGTCAAAGTTCTCTATCCCAATCCCTGAGCTATGTCATTGCAATCTGTAATTAAGTGAATCTGGGCCAGACAATTCAGTGGTTGACATCTTGATTCATTGAATATATGTTCAGAGGGAATCTATTCGTGAGACAGAGATAATCTGAAATTCTGAAATTCCAGTGTGTTACTATATAAATTACATTGTTGAAAATGTAAGTTTAACGATTTTGTCAGCAAGATGTATGAAACATAATTTCCTCTTTATCTGTGTTCCTGTTGATAGTTTACCATGTCAGTGGCCAGACAAACTGAATCTTGTACAAACTCTCTTCAATCAGTAGGATCGGCGGGCAAATTGCTATAGTTTGAACACCAAGTTCTATTTATAGTTAACTCTGGTGCAGTGATGACTGAGTCCTGTAATACTCCGGAATATTCCGCTTCAGTAAGTCTGATAAGGTGTATTGGCAAAGGTCAACGGAATAATTGATCTGTATTAGGCGAGCAGTCTGTAGGACGCTAGTACATACACTATGCATCCTAGTTTGGTGGTTTGTGAGGAGCATTGAGGTGATAGTGCTGGCATTTGTTAGATGACAGAGTTTTTGGCCATTGATTCCTTATACATTGTACATGTCTCTTTGTCCAGTAATGGAACGGGCAATCTAGATACTCTCCTTTTCCCTAGCTTGGATTTGCAGTTTTTAGAATTTAATGGACAGAATGTTTCCATGGTTTTATGTTCAAAATTTTGTCAGTAATTTGAGTTAATGAGTCGAAAGAAGACATTAAGACAATTTCATGTGTTGGGCAGATGGGTTGCACAGTTTCAGTAGTTGTCTGGAACATCTAATCTAATGTAATGGTGGATATTTTCGCTGTAGTGTTTCACATCTGATATAATTAGCAGTTCTTTCCCCCTGCTTGTGTGGTTAACCAGATCTGTTTCCAATGCCTTTTCTTTATGTGCCGACTTCTACTTCTGTTTCTAATATCTATGATTCTAATTGGGGCCCTGAGGGAAGGAAATCCAGGGTGACATTTACGAATATGCCAGGTTTTCTACATTTGTAGTGACATCTGAATCTACAATACACATTGTCAATACCAAATTTATGTTCCACTGACTAAAGGAACACCATTATCTCTTAATGGGAATATCATTTTAACCTAATCAGGCTTTTGTCCAAGCACCTGAAACTGATCATCTGAAGCTGATCATATGTAGACAGGTCCAAGCACCTGAAGCTGATCATATGTAGACAGGTCCAAGCACCTGAAACTGATCATGTGTAGACAGGTCCAAGCACCTGAAACTGATCATGTGTAGACAGGTCCAAGCACCTGAAACTGATCATATGTAGACAGGTCCAAGCACCTGAAGCTGATCATATGTAGACAGATCCAAGCACCTGAAACTGATCATGTGTAGACAGGTCCATGCACCTGAAGCTGATCATATGTAGACAGGTCCAAGCACCTGAAACTGATCATATGTAGACAGGTCCAAGCACCTGAAACTGATCATGTGTAGACAGGTCCAAGCACCTGAAACTGATCATGTGTAGACAGGTCCATGCACCTGAAGCTGATCATATGTAGACAGATCCAAGCACCTGAAACTGATCATGTGTAGACAGGTCCAAGCACCTGGAGCTGATCATATGTAGACAGGTCCAAGCACCTGACATCATCAAGCTGATCATATGTAGACAGGTCCAAGCACCTGAAACTGATCATGTGTAGACAGGTCCAAGCACCTGAAACTGATCATGTGTAGACAGGTCCATGCACCTGAAGCTGATCATATGTAGACAGGTCCAAGCACCTGAAACTGATCATGTGTAGACAGGTCCAAGCACCTGAAACTGATCATATGTAGACAGGTCCAAGCACCTTGAGCTGATCATATGTAGACAGGTCCAAGCACCTGAAACTGATCATATGTAGACAGATCCAAGCACCTGAAGCTGATCATATGTAGACAGGTCCAAGCACCTGGAGCTGATCATATGTAGACAGGTCCAAGCACCTGAAACTGATCATATGTAGACAGGTCCAAGCACCTGAAGCTGATCATATGTAGACAGGGTCCAAACACATCAGGCTGATCATATGTAGACAGGTCCGAGCACCTGAAACTGATCATATATAGACAGGTCCAAGCACCAGAAACTGATCATATGTAGACAGGTCCAAGCACCTGAAACTGATCATGTGTAGACAGGTCCAAGCACCTGAAGCTGATCATATGTAGACAGGGTCCAAACACATCAGGCTGATCATATGTAGACAGGTCCAAGCACCCAAGCTGATCATATGCAGACAGGTCCATGCACCCTCAAGCTGATCATATGTACACAGGGGTCGTGCACCCTCAAGCTGATCATATGTAGACAGGTCCATGCACCCTCAAGCTGATCATATGTAGACAGGTCCAAGCACCCTCAAGCTGATCATATGTAGACAGGTCCAAGCACCCTCAAGCTGATCATATGTAGACAGGTCCAAGCACCCTCAAGCTAATCATATGTAGACAGGTCCAAGCACCCTCAAGCTGATCATATGTAGACAGGTCCAAACAGGTCTGAGCTAGGGCTGGGACGGGTAGGAAGAAATGGAATCGAGTACCCGCATGTGCTTACCTGAATCGGAATCGAGTACCCGGAAATGTAAGGAATACAGCGCTGCTGTCAACTGTCTGAATATTCTATCACGAGTTGACAGAGATTATTATAGAAACTTGAAAGGATGGCAATAAGACATTAAAACAGATCTTAGGCTATTTAATTTACGTCTATTTAACCAACATAAAGAGTAACAGCATTACTTACATTCACAGAACCTTTCGTTCCCGCCGCTCATGTGTAGATAAATTACAGTCGTTAATAATAACCTTCATTAATTGGACAATACCAATGATGTAAATGTGTGTTACGTCAATTATGAAAAAGACAAGTTATTATCTGCCCTTGTTATTACAGAGTTCTTTCCCTTTCCGGGTACTCGATTCCTAGAAATAGGACTCGATTCCAGGTGTAACCGACCCGGATTCGAGTACCTGAGTACCCGTCCCAGCCCTAGTCTGAGCACCCAAGCTGATCATATGTAGACAGGTCCAAGCACCCTCAAGCTGATCATATGTAGACAGGTCCAAGCACCCTCAAGCTGATCATATGTAGACAGGTCCAAACACCCTCAAGCTGATCATATGTAGACAATTCCAAGCACCCCCAAGCTGATCATGGGAGAGAACAAAGCCTTCATAATTCAGATAAAGATATTTTGTCCTTCTTAATGAAAAAGAATAATGTACAGATAATTGGCAACAACAAAGGTAACATTTCGTTGTATGAAAAATGGGGAAATTATGAAACTCTTCCTGTTGACGTCACAGGCAGGGAAATGATCACTTGTTTGTTATAATGTATTTGTTCATGATGTAATTGTACACTAGTGACAGTTATCAGGTGTCACCTACCTCCAGTGTAAATTTACCCGGGACATCACGTCAGTGGCAGGTCTTACCAATTAGAGCTAATTAGCCTGATGATCAGTCGCAAATCTCGTGTGTCCATACTTTCTGTAGACATTGGTCCCAATATATACAATGTCTGTTTACTCGGTATTGACATTACTTATTTCAGCAGTTGTAACCTATAGGGAACAATCAATCATTGTTTGGGAAATGTTTATTCTTCAAGAAGAGATATGTTTATGACGTCACCCAACTCATAAATAGAAAAGTTTATTGATCTAATTACACTAAGCAAATACATTTACTATGAGTGCCACCAAAATGTGATATCAACAGATTATCTGAATACATTAGTTGAAACTTATGTATACTAATTCTTGTGCTGGATCTAATGATCAAATAATCAGTCAAATCAGTGTTGCTTGCATCAGCGATTATCGATGGGGTCTGGAGACTAATCACTATTCATAATTAAAAAAAATCAAATAATACTTTGGAAAGTATGTTTCATATTTTTGTTATGTTTGTTAAATCAAGACATATACAAGTGATACAGTTTCCTAACTCATAAAACTGCAATGTAGGCAACAGAGACGTGTGAGTGTCTCAAGTATCCATGATCGTCTTGATTGTTGTATTAATCAATGACTGTTTCATGTGTACTAAGTGATAGTGTCCCGTTGTTGCCCACATGAGTCTTGTGGTTCGGTTTACGATTACAATCGATTATTGATTGATTACTGAGCTCTGATTATCTATCTGCATATTGTGGATAATATCAAATTTTTCCTTATCCTGACTCATGAGGTAAGCAATTAAGCATGAGTCAGGATAAGTATAAAATATCAATTTTAATCAAAAAATTACATATTTTTCCTTATCCTGACTCATGCTTAATTGCTTACCTCATGAGTCAGGATAAGTATAAAATATAAATTTTAATCAAAAATTTACATTACATAATGATAATAGCCTTGTATCTCAATTATTATTTTCAGGTCATTAGCTAAAGGTATATTTCTCAAAAAAATCATTTTGATGTGTTGTCTGTGTTTCAGGTGGTGCAAGAATATGAGAGGGCCGTTATATTCCGACTAGGTCGTCTGGTGACGGGAGGAGCCAAGGGGCCAGGTAGGGACATCTGATTGTTTGACCAAAAGCAATCGACTGAAACTGAACATTTGATAACCAGAGAATGAACCATTAATCACTCCAGAACCCATGATTCTCACCTTGATACCAAATATTTGATTCCATCTCTATCATCCCACTATTTGATCACCTTAAAGAGAATCATTTGATTGATTTGATTGTAATTCAGTCAAATGCATATTTTGAAACTTTTGATCACCCTTTAGCCAACATTTTGAGATCACCAACAACCAACAATAAGCCAACCATTTGATCACCCTAATGTCAACCATTTGAGGGGCGGCGGGGTAGCCTAGTGGTTAAAGCGTTGGCTCGTCACGCCGAAGATCCGGGTCCGATTCCCCACATGGGCACAATGTAAAACCCATTTCTGGTGTCCCCTGCCGTGATATTGCTGGAATATTGCTAAAAGCGGCGTAAAACTAAACTCACTCAGTCAAGTCAGTCAACCATTTGATCACTCTGAAGCCAACCATTTGATCACCCAGTGGACCCAATAGTTGAACATCTGTTCACTTTCTGATCCTAAGACCAGGACTGTGGGGTAGCTTAGTGCTTAAAACGTTTGCTCATCACATGTCAGACCCGTATTTGATTCCCCTCATGGGTACAATGTGTGAAGCTCTTTTCTGGTGTTCCCAGTCATATTGCTGGAATATTGATAAAAGCGACGCAGCAGGATATGGTGTTAGCTTTTCAGGAATATCACTCTAGTATCAGTCCTGAAGCTGAATGTATAGATGATGAGTGAGTGAGTGAGTTTGGTTTTACGCCGCTTTTAGCAATATTCTAGCTATATCACGGCGAGGGACACCAGAAATGGGCTTCACACATTCTACCCATATGGAGAATCGAACCTGGATCCTCGTCATGATGAGTAAACGCTTTAACCACCAAGTTACCCCACCACTAGTGATGATGATTATAATGATGTCATGTTCTGTTGATCAGGTTTGTTTTTCATCATCCCATGCATGGACTCGTACACCAAGGTTGATCTGAGAACAGTGTCCTTCGATGTGCCACCCCAAGAGGTGAGTGTGGTGGAATCAGTTTTGAGAGACAGGTATCATCACTGACAGGTATCATCACTGACAGGTATCATCACTGACAGGTATCATCACTGACTGGTATTATCATTGACTGTATCATTCACTGTATTATCAGCAACTGGCATTATATTCAGCAAGCATTGTTATCAACTGGTATTAGCTTGTACAGTTATCTACTGGTATTATCATTAACTGTATAATCATTAACTGGTATTAATGCTTGTGCACTCATCTATTGGTGTAATCATTGTATTATCATCAGCTGGTAATATTAAAACATTTGGGTTGTGTGCTGGTATTTATCCACAGGTTTTATCATTGACTGAGAGCACCTCTGACTGGTATTGACTTACTGGTATTATGAAAGTGTGTGCTTATCATCTACTGGTATTATCATCAGCTGGTAATATTAAAACATTTGGGGTTGTGCTGGTATTATCCACAGGTTTTATCATTGACTGACAGCACCTCTGACTGGTATTGACTTACTGGTATTATGAAAGTGTGTGCTTATCATCTACTGGTATTATCATCAGCTGGTAATATTAAAACATTTGGGGTTGTGCTGGTATTATCCACAGGTTTTATCATTGACTGACAGCACCTCTGACTGGTATTGACTTACTGGTATTATGAAAGTGTGTGCTTATCATCTACTGGTATTATCATCAGCTGGTAATATTAAAACATTTGGGGTCGTGTCCTGGTATTATCATCCACAGGTATTATCTTCAGGCATGAGAATTTTCCAGGATTTGCAGATTTCCGGGATTTACATATCAAGTTGTTGAGATCAGCATAAATCTGCATTAACATTTTAGGTGGTCGATATCACACAAAAATTTCCTCCAAAATTGAAATTGGCTATTCTCATGCCTGTATCTTTGATTGGAAATATCTCTGGTATTGTCTTTTACTGGTGTTATTTTCGACTGGCATCGTGAAAGTTTGTGCAGTGATCTACTAGCATTGTCATCTATTGTGAGGTTGTATGTTAACTTGTGACACTGTCTCCTGGTGTCGGCATTGACTAGCATTGTAAAAGCTGGTGCTATTATCCACTGGTATTAATGTGCCCTTGCTCCTGCGCAGTGTGTGCTGGTCCCTTGACGTGACAGTACAATGAAGCCTGGCGTCAGTCCCAATAACCTGCATACCAATCATTCTAAACCATGCCAAGTACACTACAGTAATGGGCAGACAGAATAATTCCATGTCCCCAAAGACCTTCTTCATTGTCCAAAATATGTAACCATTTCAAAGTGTCATCACTGCGAAGCGTATATTAGATTCAGATGTGTATTGGTTTCAAATTTGATGAAATGGAATAGGAATCCAGGCTCGCTGACTTGGTTGATGCATGTCATTGTGTAGATGGATGCACATGACAGCAATCACTGGATTGTCTGGTTGTAATTATTTACAGAACACAGTCATAGATCTGGAAAATTCGGCACTGACAACAAAGATGCAAAAAAAATTGGATGAGGTTTCATCAAGTTCTCATTGATTAACAGGGATAGAAATACTGTTTATCATCCAAAACTGTGTTCCACAGGAGATCTTGCTTGTGTGAGATCAAACTTTATTACCCACGTGGTCAACGTATGGGTAGTTGCATATTAATCTCGTACGTCACACGAGTGTCGTATCGCGTTGACCTGTGTCGTAACGACTTGACCTGAAATTCTAACGATTTGATTAGATAACCGATGACCTCTCAATTAGGTCACATTCTGACGTAACTAATTTTTCATTCATAACAAACACGTGAATGCATTCATTCTACAACTTAAATGCATTGTGGGAATGTAAACATTGCGAACGTTGCCGTGTCGCTGTTTCATTGTGAGTCGAACTGAGACATTATATCTGTCGAAAAACATAAACGCAATGTTTCCACCAGTGATGTTAGCAGAATGAAGCAACTGGAAACCAAGAAACGAGGTGCTACGGAGTAGTTTACTGTAGGAGGCTGTACGAGGCGATGACAACTGACATGCATCGTGACGTCGGTTACCATGGTAGTGACGTCATTAGTGTGACGTCATGCAAATATTGTACTACAGTACAAAACTCTTCCGCAACCTCTTTATGAAACCGGTTTTGGGTTTGAAACCAAAAACATAACAAAAAAATACGCTATTTTGTCAATTTAAATGCATGTAAGGCGTGGGTAATAAATAAAATACCACACTTTCGGTCTCATTACATACGAATTATCTGAAACCCGTGACCTTCCTATGTTATCTGACCTCGCTTTCGCTCGGTCAGATACCATAGGAAGGACACTCGTTTCGTATAATTCGTATGTAATGAGACCTCGTGTAGTATTCTCTATATATCTCCTAGGAGATATCGTTTTGACAGTGGATTTTGCACAATGCCCTGACAATGCTATGACGTTATGACCTTGATGATGTCACAATGCTATGACATAGCTGCACTGCAAGTCTAATGGCAGTACCGTGCTCGGAGATGTACATATTTCATTGAATACTAATGAAGAATGATTTTTGATGATAAATAGAATCTCACCAAGTGTCTTTTGATATCAAATATATCAACACTCGTTGGTAAAAGTAAAAATATCCTCAGCAAGCCCCGGATATTTGTAACTTTATCAACTCGTGGTGATATATTTGATATCAAAAGACACTCAGGTGAGATTCTCTATTTATTATAAGTGTGCCTTAAAGTACTAGACAAATATTTTAGATGTGCCTTTCAGAAATCAAGTGTTTTCACATGTTTTTAGAATACATTATCCATCATAATTCCAGTGATTTCCTGGGCAAAAAAGTCAGTAACTTTTTTTGCTTGTTTGTCATTTGCATAAGTGTTTTGGGGATTAAATGACTAAAGGTGACCTATGTCTCTAAAACATTAGGCGTGCCATAAGAGCACAGAAAACATGTTTTATCTGTGCCATTTCAATATTTACCGTGCCATGGCACGCAAATATACAGGGTATTTCAAACCCTAGTTAATAATCAGGGATGTTTTACTTCAAATAGCAATAGGGTGGTGGGGTAGCCTAGCGGTTAAAGCGTTCGCTCGTCATGCCAAAGGTTCGGGTTCGAGTCCCCACATGGGTACAGTGTGTGAAGCCAAGATACTGAAGTCATAATTGACTGGGTAAAGAACACTAGTTTACCACCTACAGCGATTGATGTCTGTGTTTGCTCTTAGGACCTGCAATACATGTAGTGTTAGTACCGATAATACCTCATGAAGATCTGCATTGGAACTGACCTTCAACTACCAGTGCTAATTGGCCAGTAATTGGAGTCATGTGTATGAGATAATCAGTGGTATTTTTTGACTGCAATCATAATGCTGCCATATTGCTGAGAGCAACACTCTAACTAACAGACATTAATAGTCATGGATATTTTACTACACATTAAAAATTATACTTAAACCAACTCACAATAATTTCAGCTCTCATGGGCGAGTGAGATGGGTTTTACGGAGATTTGAGCAATATTCCAGAAATATCACGGTAGGGTACACCAGAAATGGGCTTCACACTTTGTGCCCATGTGGGGAATCAAACCCGGGCCTTCTGCATGACGAGCAAACGCGTAACTACTAGGTTACCCCACTGCCCCATCTCTAATGGACTGGTTACATCGCAGTGTTCTACTGTCTCAAGTACAGTGTATTTCTGTTTGTGATTTACAGACAATATGTTTAATGTTGACAATGTTAACATGGCTCCGCTCTGTTTCCTGGTAGGTGTTGACCCGCGACTCTGTTACGGTAGCAGTGGATGCCGTTGTCTACTACCGGGTCCAGAATGCCACCATGTCCATCACCAACGTGGAGGACTCCAACCGCTCCACCAGACTGTTGGCAGCAACTACGCTCAGGAATGTCCTCGGAACCAAGAATCTGAGCGAGATTTTGTCAGAGAGGGAGTCAATCAGTCACCTCATGCAGGTATGGGTACAACTGAAAACAATCTGCAATCAAAAAGATATGGCAGAAGTACTGTCAAAACGTTTTGATGGTGTTTTTTCCTGTTTCAACATTCTTTTGGAAATTTATGAAAGTAATGAAATAAGTACTACTTAAAAATTGAAGAAAATTTTTAATCTTAAAAGTTAGAAGGAATTTAGAATCCCATGACATTGTGTCTCAGATCACATTCCTATATACCTTTGTTTTAAGATAATATTGAAGGTATTTGGTGATATTAAACTTGTTAATTTCAAATATTGGTATTATTGGAAATGCGGAAACCTGCAAATCAGACATCCATTGTGAAGGAGCGTCAGATGGGTACCTCCTGTGTTATTGCTTGTGTTGGCAGTGACAGCTTGATGTATGCTTTACTCAATTTAGATATGTTTTCATCCCCTAGAGTTCCCTAGATGAAGCTACAGACCCATGGGGTGTGAAGGTGGAGCGAGTAGAAGTGTAAGTAACATGGTCGACCTTGACCATGACAAGGTGCAGACACCTATTGCAGCACTGTGAATCTGGGTCCCCATCCACAAAGTGTTCATAGGGCATGACATTTGTAAGTCTATGAGAAACTATAGGGTTACGACACGTTACGAACGCTTTGTAGATCAGGATGCTGGTTTCCAAGGATACGCTGATTGCAAACAACTGTTGAACTCAATACAAACTCTTTCTAAGGTGGGGCGGTGGGGTAGCCTAGTGGTTAAAGTGTTGGCTCGTCATGCCGAAGACCCTGGTTCGAATCCCCACATGGGTACAATGTGTGAAGCCCATTTCTGGTGTCCCCCGCCGTGATGTTGCTGGAATATTGCTCACAGCGGCGTAAAACCAAACTCACTCAGTCACTCAGTCTTTCTAAGGTGTATTAAATTGACCTCATATTCTCATGCGATGATAATGGCCTGGGCCTCTAAAAGTGTCAAGTGTAATTGAGGGTTCTGATTTACAGTTCATGACCAAGTCTGTTAAACACATTATTTTACCCAATAATTGAGAGTGATTATGGGCTATTTCCTGCTATTATGTCACTAGGTAACAGTAGATTGTGTACTTGAACATGCTCCAGTTGCATATGAGTATGGGATACCATTGTATGACACCGTCTCCAAGCAGCCAATCAAACACTTTCAGGGCCTACACTATCAACTGTTGAGTTGTGTATTAGAAAGCAGCTGTTTTAATGGATCAGATGTTTGATTAGTTGCTTGTGGGAAACTGGTGTGAAACCAGACATGGGAGTGTGTGCCAAAATGTATTGTTTCTGCTGCATCACTCTTTCAGTGTAATTTACATCAGATGTTAGTGTTTTATGTGGTTGTATTGTATAACCCAACCTTACTAGTTCAATCCAAATGTTGCTTGACTCATGGACTATAGCTGAAGTCACAGACTGCTAGGAGCGGTGGGGTAGCCTAGTGGTTAAAGCGTTCACTTTCACGCCGAAGACCCGGGTTCGTTTCCCACATGGGTACAATATGTGAAGCCCATTTCTTGTGTTCCCCGCCATGATATTGCTGGAATACTACTAAAATTGGCGTAAAGCCATATTACTCACAGATTACAACTTGGTTAGACCACTCGGACCCGGGCAGTTAAAGCCCCAAATCCTCCATTTACACCGTAATACTGCAATAGTGAACTATTTTTGTGCACATTTATTTGATAACGTAAAGTTGAAAAGCTACTTTCCCTATTGTCATGCTGCAGTATGAACAGCTGGACTGTAGAACAATGGCTTTTGTTACGAGTTTTGGAGTTCGTTTGCATTATTTAAAAAATAGTTTTACTGTCTGATGACAAAATACCATATATGTTTGTTTCATTGTGACTCTCTAATTTCCAGTAAGGACGTCAGACTGCCAGTCCAGCTCCAGAGAGCCATGGCAGCAGAAGCTGAAGCCGCACGTGAGGCTCGGGCCAAGGTAGATAACTCTTTCACCCCTTTTCCTCTCACCTGTTGTAGCCCTTAAGAATATTAAGAATAACAAAAAAATTCCCATAAAGTGTATAGTTGTCTGTCAGATATTTTACATACATTTTCATGGTGGCTGAGTATATAACTCACTTCTGAACATGTGTAATGAAAATAAGTTATGTTTAGTTTCATTTTGACCGAAAATCTTAATGAAACTAAATATGTAGTAATCAGTGAACTGATGTAATGCGTAAATATGACCTTCTTTACCATTGGACCTTGACCTTATGAAGTAAAACCTTCACCCTCCTGACATTTGACCTTGATATTCCTTCTTTTAGGTCATTGCCGCTGAAGGAGAACAAAAGGCTTCCCGAGCTCTGAAGGAAGCTGCCGACGTCATCACCGAATCTCCCGCTGCTCTGCAGTTGCGTTACCTGCAGACTCTAAACACCATCTCCGCTGAGAAGAATTCCACGATCATTTTCCCCCTCCCCATTGACCTTCTGCAGTCGTTCCTTCCAAAAGGAAATCAGAAAACATCAATGTAGGCCAAGGTCACTGGAAATAACATGACCGCAACAAACTTGCCTTATTCTGGTTGGTCAGTGGAGTAGTACATAATTTCATTTGAGAAGAAGGGGGAACAACTCTGTGTCCAGACAATTTGTCTATATGCATAGGTTGCATGCTGTTATCCTAATAGTAACTAAAATGTGAAAAGGTTTTGGCCTCTTTTTATTTCAATATAACCCGTGATTTCCATTGATGTTTGTCTTATTAACAGCATTCAACTTCAGGAATCAATCAGGGTAGAATATGTGGCATGTTAATTGTATGTATATTTATGTACTCCAGGTAAAAACACAGATTGTGATGCTCTTGTGCCAAAACCAAGACATAAGCATCTCAGATTTGCTCCATGAAAACAATATATGCTGTAACATCGTAAAATGCTTCGTGTTGCGTTTGAGGTTTTAATGCATTCCAGTAAGGGCTACTAATTTTTCTTAGAGAAAGAAAATTTGATACCAAAATATAACTGGAAAAAAAAGTGATTGATCAAATATGATTGAAAATGAAATTGTGTAGACAAATTTGACTGACTAATACAAAGTCCAACTTGTTCTTAAGAGATAGATAATACAATTGAACACCTGCATTTCAAACATTGGAGGAGGTTCAAGGGAGACCACCCTTCTCTGCTCTTTTATAAAAATATTGTAAATAAATGTACAAGTTTGTTGTCCGTTAAGCTTGTAAATTTTCTGTCATTGTTGTTTTTTTGATCGTCAGTTTTATATTTAATGTACAGGATGTGAAATTTTGCTCGAGAAGGTATTTCTTTCAATAGTACCTATAGGGGTTAGTGAACTCCTCTACGAATATTAACGGGGAATGTTTCTTTGAATAGGAATGTAGTCAGTAACTCACTTCTAGGCTGCTGAAGGACATTTCATGAATCAAGCATAATAATGAGTTACAATCACATGCATATATTATCTTGTTAATATAAACACTGTGTAACGCTCCTTTAATTTCTCTGCTCACTTGCGCTGTCATGATCTACTAACCTGCCCCATGTAGATGCTATGTCGTTATAATGGCTACCTGTATAAAGTCAAACAATAATCGGTTTATGTTAGCCAGTGTATGTGTCACCCAGCAACTGTTATCCAAGATTTGTTGACCCTGAAGGTGAAAGTTTCAAATCCTCAGGACTTATGCTTGAATCAGTTGAAGTGCTCCATGGTACAGTCACTGTTTGTTGAAGAACTAGGGCTTCTCTTGAGCTGAGGGGATAGTGAGGACAGGGATTCTCATCCTACAATTTTCTCACAGAGTAGCAACAATGTCTGTGCAGTTGGATTTATCAGTAAACCAAACTATCAACCTCTGTTTGGCACCATGTGTGGCATCACTGTTTGCTGAGTTTCATTCTTTAGAGCTGAGCGATTAAAGCGTTCGCTTGTCACGCCAAATACTGGGTTCGATTCCCCACATGGGTACAAAGTGTGAAGCCAATTTCTGGTGTACCCCGCCATGATATTGCTGGAGTATTGCTAAAAGCCGCGTAAAACCATACTCACTCATTCTTTAGCATACAAACACCTCCACACGTGGTTCCAGATTCAAGGTTCACTTGGATTATTATGTTCTTGGGTTGTCAGCGCTGTCCCCATGGGTTTCATCAAAGCGGGTAAGCATGTGGAACCTGCAATGTAATACTGTTGAAAGTGGCGTTAAACTCACTTCCTCTGTCAGACTCAACGTGAAGGTCATGTCCTTGAGAACACTGTTGTTCGCTTTATGATTCTCAACTAGAAGTTAAAAAACAATGGAAATGTCATTGTTGAGAAAACTGCTTAATACCTGTTTTAAGTTTTTAGATAATGGTATATCACAAAATGAAACGACACTTCCTCAGATAAACAATGGGGAAATATTACACTTCACGTGAAGTATTGGGACCATTGTTGCACTGGCATTGTTGCTATTCTCAATAGCTGTAGCAAGATTTCTTGAGGGACCAACCTAAGCAATAGATATGGACTATGATTAGAAGTGTATGTTCAATGAGCTGATATCAAAGAAACCATAGCAGCTAATGTAATGATTCTGTTTGTGCTACATTTATGTCAAGATTAATTATGTCATTGTGTTTGAAGATTTCTCTAGTCCAGGTAGCGGTGGTTTAGCGGATCACGTCTTGCCTTGTCATGCAACTGGTCTGTGTTTGAGTCACTGCATTTGTACACTTTGAAGACCTTGTGGAGTCCGCTTTTGTAATGGTCCTATAAAAGCCTCAAGTCCCTCAAGCAGACAATGTTTTTATTTTTTTAGACGACGCCCGGTTTTGACAACAATGGGCCTATCAAAGCCTCAAGTCACTTGTGCAGACAATGTGTTTATTTTTTAGACGACGTCCAGTTTTGACAATAATGGGCCTGTCGATCATGCAGACCATTTTTATGTTTTGTTAGACGATGCCCAGTCTTAACAATGTCGTGACTGTATTCCATACAACCAGCTCTTGTACTATTACTTTAAATGGTGTGTTGTGCATAATTTAAACAACTTGTGGAGCACTGTTCAGTTGGACCCTTTATAATCTTTCAGAACTGTATAACGTACTTTGTTTTTATCTGTATGTATCCACTCGTTTCTCTCGTATTCATTGTTTAACTGTCATGTTTTCCTCTCCAGTAAATTAAAACCATTGCTCAAAATATTTTTGCATATTAACTTACACTCACATGCACCATTCTGACAGTTATGGAATAAAACATATTTTACCAACCAGGCTATTCAGGAAATTAAAACAATTTAGCACTTTCCCTTTGGTTAGATTCTTTGTATTTTGTATTTCCTAAATAACATGTAGAATTTATTTTTGATTACATCATCGACAGATATGCATATGAATTAATGCGAAATTTAAATGAGGTCATCTAAACCACTACATTGATATTTTTTCCCCATTTCAGATGTTGATATTAGCCTGTATTGCATATATCTGTGGTGTTTTCCGATTGCTTCAAACTTGAATCGCTGATATGCAAAAATGAAATCACTCTATAAAAGCAATAATAATTCAGTGAAAAAACGCCTACAGTTCAAGCTATGGTGTGTACTTTTTTCGTACTATTTTATAACATTTTTGTACAAAAAAAGTCCATGGGAAATGCACAAGTGGATCCCCTCTAAACTGTTAATTTAACACATACTTCCAGTGAAGGTTCACCAAAGTGGATCTCTTGAACTTCATTTTCCAGTAACAGTTTTACAGTGTTTCTTGGCAATTTTATACTGAATTAGTGATAGTTTATAAAAACCTGCCCACCATGAAACATTTCTATTCCACTGTGTGCATCCCCTCCCTAATGTTGTTCATGGTTCGTGGTGGTTTGCGAGGTCACTGTGTTCAGATTTTTCTACATTTTAATGATCAAATTCTATGCTCAAGGATTATTTGTTAACCATCCATCATAATATGTATTCTATCGTTCAGTTTGATATTTGAATAAAATTTCAAGGAAAACCATGCAGGTGTTTTTGTCTGTCAACGGTTGAGCATTTATTGTGATGTCGGGAAGAAGTCCCAGATGTTGGTTTCAGAGAATTTAAGTGAGCTACAGTACTCCACGTGTACATATTAACATGTAGCTTGACACAAGTTATCTACACACATCAGACATTGACAAGGCATCTTCAAATAGCAGTGAATTGGCTACAGGTTAAAATTGATGTCATCACCTTCCTGATGAAAGTCAACCTATAGCAATAATTATTATTATTGCTTCATGTATATTATATGCAGTGTGTGGAACGGAAAAGCAATCCATTAGTCTCCTTTGCCTGGATGAATTTGGCTGAACTTAAAAGTGAAACAGAGGGTTCTCTTTTTGATAAACAGGACCATCAACTTCCAACTGGCAATCGATTCTGAAAGATAATGTCAACATGAATTGTTGTCTGTGTAAAACCTTGTAAGTGGATGTCCTTCCTTGGCACAAACAGCAGAACTTAAACGACAATGGCATGGTTCATTGTTTCCATTACCGTCTTTGCTATGGCTGTGGTTTTGATCTTGAGGTCCACAAATGGTTTGACCCTCAATATGTGGAGGGCATCATGGAAAATGATGCTCATAAACTTCTTTGGAATAGGCCATCCGTTTATAACCTTCCAGATTCCATTCTCCAAGTGAATACTCTTGATGCTCTTGTGTATCATCATTCCAGTCTTTGGGCCAGTGTGAGTTCACATGTCCTCCGTTACCTGGGTGTTTGCATACCAAGCAGTCTTTTGGGATGATTTATTGTGAAATTATCCTGGATGCCCATTCATTACTGGATGAAAATGGGTAATTATATATACACAAAGAAAAGTATCGCATCAGCCATATTTGAATATATTGCTGATGTTTGATTTGATGTGTCCGCTATACACTGTTCTTTGTAAAGTAAATATTGACACAAAGAGAAAACGTTGAAATGAAAGTTTTGGTAAAGATCATAATGTGTTTATATTGATTTACAAAAAGAAAAGAGGCCAAAAATGGAGAATTTCGAGTCCAAACAACTATGGCTGTAACAGGTCTATCAGAATTCTCAAGTCAATTTCCTGCCATGTCACCATCATGGAGAAGAGTTTGCAAAACACTGAAAAATGTCAGTATCAGGTGTAACCTCCTCCAGCTTGAATCACCTGTTCAACCCTCCTCCTCACTGACCTAAGAATCGTCTGATCTGTTCCTGTGTAAGATTGTTCAATTCCTGGTGTAGCGTCTGTTCCAATTCATCAACAGTCTGCACTTGTGGCTCCCTCTGACGGAGTTTACGTCCAAGAATGCCCCAAATATGCTCAATGGGGTTGAGTTCAGGGCTTCTGGATGGCCAAGGTACGGTAGAGGCAGCTTCCTGACGCAGAAAATCCACAACAGCACGCACACGGTGGGGTCGGGCGTTATCATCCATAAAGACTGGCCTTGTGTTCAGAGGATGGTTGTCAAATTGAGGCACTATAACCCTGTCCAGTATCTCTGTTTGGCATCGTTGGCCATTAAGGTTGCCTCTTACTGTTACCAGTGGCAGCTTACAGTCATATGACAAGCAACCCCAAGTCACGACAGAGCCGCCGCCAAATGGAACCTGTTCCGTGATGTTCCTTCTATGCCATGTTCTTAAGTCGCCAAACACGTTCTCTACCATCTGTCATGAACATCAAACCAATGGATTTTTCTCCATGACGCAATATTCCGGTGAGTACTTGTTCGACACCATGCCAGTCGTGCTGTTTTGTGGTCATGTGACAAAAGAGGCCTTAGATAAGGTCTTCTGGCACGATATCCAGCATTTCTAAGACGATTACAGACGATTCTGGGGCATATGCGGCGATGAGGTAACCACTCCCTTTTCAGAACAGTGCAAAAGGATAGCGTCGTACAAGTCTCAAAAGAGCTGCATGTTCTTTTTCTGACGTACAGCGAGGTCTACCCGGACGGGGACGGTCCCTGACGTCATCTGTCTGCTGATGCTTACTTAACAAACGACTTATTGTTGAATGATGGCGGCCCAGATCCCTGGCAATTTGCCTCATGGACATACCAGTAATCCTCGTGCCAATAACTCGGCATCTTTCTCTCGTACGGAGCTGTCGAGTAACCATTGTTTAATTTAGACAGTGGAATCAATTACTTGTAAGCTTTACTCAATACAGTGACAGATTTCCAAAACATGATTTTCACGGTTGACGGGGTACATGGTTTCCTTGTGCCATAGATGGGACACGTGCTGGACATGCATTTTATCATGACTGGTATAGAGTACAGGATATGCCATAAATTTCAAATCAAGATGACCTATACTTATTCATGAAAACAAATTCTCTTGACAGCTTATATATTTGGGTGTTGCGATACTTTTTTCTTTGTGTTTATATACACGACATGTAACGTGGGTGAGTGAGTTTAGTTTTACGCCGCACTCAGCAATATTCCCGCTATATGGCGGCGGTCTGTAAATAATCGAGTCTGGACCAGACAATCCAGTGATCAACAGCATGAGCATCGATCTGCGCAATTGGGATACGATGACATGCGTCAACCAAGTCAGCGAGCCTGATCACCCGATCCCGTTAGTCGCCTTTTACGACAAGCATGGGTTACTGAAGATCAATATTCTAACCCGGATCTTCACGGGTGCGACATGTAACTTGTGTGGGCAGGACCACAGTCTTAGACACCCAGGAGTCCAGCTGCCGGACTCCCAGACACCCATTCCACTCTCAGCAAGACTGCTTAACTTTGCCTGTACTGCAGGGAATCTGTTTCAGTCAGTGGTCGTTATTGCGGTGTGACATGTATCAACACTTTTATCTTAAGTACTTTGCTATGCGCTACAGAAAATAGAGGTGAAGATAGAAAAGTCTTTTATGACACTCTTGGCGTATAGTTGGCTGGTTTCTGCATCGGTCTGCATTGGTGGGTTGCACGACAGCTGGCTGTCTTCTAATAACCGAAATACTATTCAAAGCGACGTAAAACTCAGTGCATTCCGAGAGAGTGAGTGAGTTTAGTTTTACGCCGCTTTTAGCAATATTCCATCAATATCACGGCGGAGGACACCAGAAATGGGCTTCACACAATGTACCCATGTGGGGAATTGAACCCGGGTCTTCGGCATGACGAGCGAACGCTTTAACCACTAGGCTACCCCGCCGTCCCTGTGCATTCCGATCAGGTGGTAATCTCAAATGTTTGACATTGACTGCTCACATCGATTAGATAATTATTTGTTTGCAAAGATAACTCATTTTTCCTGATTTATCATAACATAAAGCATGTATTTGAGTTCAATTTAAAAGAATAAACTTTCCCCAAATGGTGACCTATCGTTCCCAGTGGGTTACAACTGTAAGGTGAGCCGTGGGCAAACAGCCAGTGTGTATATTGGGTCCAGTGTCTATATAAGCTATGGGCACCTTAGCTGAGTTGAGATTGATCATCAGGCTAATTAGCTCTAATTGGTAAGACAAGGCACTGACGTGATCTCCAAGGTAAATTTACACTGGAGGTAGATGACACCTGATAATTGTCAGTACTCCACATATAGACGAGAAACCAAATACACATTAATAGAAGCAAGTGATCAATTCCCTGTCCGTGACGTCACCAGGTAGAGTTCAATAACGCGTTAACCTTTCTCTGGGGAGACAGTTGTCAATGACCGGTTGTGTGTTGCACCTTACTGCAGTTTGCACATCGATTTCATTGGTGCCTTTGTTGTTTAACGCCGGATCCAGCAGCTTTCCAGGTATATGGCGGTGGTCTGAACAAAATCGAGTCTGGACCAGATAATCCAGTGATAAAAAGCATGAGCATCGATCTATGGAAGATCGATGATATGTGTCGACCGAGTCAGCGACCCTATACTCGATCCGATAGTCGCCTCTTGAGCATCGATCCACGCAATTGGGATACGATGACATGTGTCAACCGTCAGCGAGCTTGACCACCCGATCCAGTTAGTCGCCTCTTACGACAAGCATGTGTTGCTGATGGCCAGTTCTAACCGGTTCATTCACGTTTGGTGTCTTTAGACTGAGGAAAGATTGGGTTTACTCTTAGCCTCACAGTCATGTTAAAATATCAATTTAAATTGTTTGATAGGTTCTTCTTGGAAGTTGAGGGAGGACAAAGCAGACAAAAGCAATCTGACAATCTGCAGGAACATACCGAGTTACGTCAACTTTCCAAAACGTATCGTTGCTACATGAGACGTGCATCACATAAGGCCACTATCATTGGTATATATTACCCAAAGATAATGGGAAAACCCGTCAGCGTTAGAAAATAACTCGAGTCATGATACCAGGTGTTACCAGTGAAGATCCGTGTTTGAACTGTTCTTCAGCAACCCATGCTTGTCGTAAGAGGCGACTAACGGGATCGGGTGGTCAGGCTCGCTGGCTTGGTTGAAACATGTAATCGTATCCCAACTGCGTAGATCGATGCTCATGTTGTTGATTACTGGATTGTCTGGTCCAAACTCTGTTATTTACAGACCACCGCCATATAGCTGGAATATTGCTGAGAGCGGCGTTAAACAACAAACAAACAAACAAACAAACGAAAACAGGTGTTACAGAACAGAAATTAATGGGGGCGGTGGGGTAGCCTAGTGGTTAAAGCGTTGGCTCGTCACGCCGAAAACCCGGGTTCGAATCCCCACATGGGTACAATGTTTGAAGCCCATTTCTGGTGTCCCCGCCGTGATGTTGCTGGAATATTGCTAAAAGCGGCGTAAAACCAAACTCAGTCAGTCAGAAATGAATGTCCTGTCCTGTCCTACCAATGATAATTTGCATAACAAAAAATGTGTTTATAGTATGTATTGAAATTCAGAATGTTTCAAAATATTTGATAATGTACAATGGCTTGTGGTACATTCACCCGTAAATTGAAACACATAGAGCTCCAGGTATTGACGAACTATATGTACTACAAACTGCTGCGATCGTCATATACTCATGCCAATAATG